TAGTAAAATGAGGAAAACTTGGGAAAAAAAAAGAAAAATATGGAAAGAATTTTAAAAAATTTTAAAGAAATTTAAAAAATTAAAATTGGCATGATATATAAAGCAAATCAATATTATGACATATTCAAAAAAATAAAAAAAAGCAGATCAATATTGTGCATCAAAGTCCAATGCCCGTGATGGTCGCATGATGCTTTTCTTCCCAAGTTGTCCAGGGTTCAAGCCCTGCCTTGGTAGGATTCCTTTTCTAATTTTTTTCTTAAAGAAAGGCCATTGGACTATATTTGGATTGGCCAGTTCAATGCAGAACCAATGGACCGACCAGTTTAAAAGTTGGACTTATAGGTTTGTCCAGTTCATCGCTGGCTCCAAGGCCTCCCGGTTCATTAACTAGATCGAACAGGTCTTGTCGCCAGGTTCACCATGCGAACCGTCCGGTCAGATCCGATTCGATATCATTGATTGGATGTGAATTTCGACAGTTAGGGGTGTCTCATTAATGAGGTTCAAAGTCAAAATCTTTTGACTTTGAGACACACTCCAAGGTGTAGGATTTCACATGTAATGCCTATGAGTGATTGTGAACTCCTTACAATAAAGGTCAATTGTTACATATATATATATCAGTAAACCGAAGTACTCAAATAATGCCTCCATGTTAGGAAGAATACTCTAGGGTACTCACATACTGAAATACAAAACAACCACAAGTCCATAGTTCATAGACTCCATACACATTCCAAGACACTACATAGTGAAAAACAGAAAAACAAAATGATACAAAAGAAAGCAGTTAGTTTTCAATCTTCATCTTCTTTGTAATTGTTGGCTTCATCCCAAGCACCTCCATTTCAGTCTAGGCCATCATCATGAGAATCATCACCCTCTTCAACATAATGGCCTAACTCAATTCTTCCGAAGTGGCCTCCTACTCATGTATCTCTCTCCTTTGTGAACCAGGAGTAGTGGTCAAAACTTGCACTAAAGCCTCCTAAATCATATCCCAAGACAAAAGCTCACTGGGGAAGAACTCTTCAGTCGCACGTTCTTCAACCAACCACTCACTGGCAACATTCGTGTCATTAGATGCAATGGGATTCCTCTTCTCACGATAATTGAATTTTGAGAACTAGAGCAATATTGTAAATATATAATACTCATTGAGCGATTTATAACTCAAATGTCAATGTAAATTACAAACAAAGCATAAGTTATATACTTCTATAACTTATAATTTATAAACAACTAAACATATAGATGTAATGCATTATTATAAGTTCATAACCATATATCCATAACTAATAATATATTAACTTGATAATACTAGTACCATACCACCTCAAATGAACTCTAATTGCACTCGCACCCAGATGAGCTACATATTAAGCTCAATATCTAGATGCCCATCCTTTGTAAATCTGGACAACCACTCCCATGTTGGCTCCACCATTGGTTCATATAAAATCACTCTATGTCTATAACATCATATGAAACTCTAGAACTTGAAACTTGAAACAAATTATTAAAATTAGATCGATGACTTAAAATACATTTGGTCCTTTATGTCACCACCATTCCTTTCCTGATGATTTCAACTTATATCAAAACAATTATTTAGCAAGTATCTTATCGAAAAGTCTCTGAAGGCATCCATTAAAGCCATCCATAATTGCATCCTTCCCTCTCAATTTCTAGGTCAAAACAAAAGAAAACATTTGGTACAAACAGTACCTAGCTGCATGCAATGGTTGATGAAATGCCTTTCCCATTTTCCATCTTCAATCTACCATATTTCGCCACAATTGCTTTCATCATTTCCTAATGGCTCAGCCATCTCTCTCGTTGCACTACTGAATGCATCATATATACCACAGTTTCATAAAACAATATGTGGCCTGTAGGGGGCTAGCCTAGCGCCCAGGCTCTAGGAAGGTGCCTAAGGTGAAAAATTGCATGTGTCCAGTTAATTTTGCAATTTTTTGTAATTATATGTATTTTAACGAACTTTTTCATTGCAAATATATATGCATGAATGTTGAAACACATTCAAAACTTCAAATCATTAAAAATTTTGTGAAAAAAGTCAAAAACATAAACAAGTCCATGGTGTATTAACCTCCAACTATCCAATCCAAACTGAGTAAGGCATACTCCATTCTAACACATGCACACCATCACAACTAGACAAGATGAAATGCAAAAGAGGCGTATAAGCTTATGGATGAAATTCCAACAATGAAGAGTAAGGTTATGGATGCTTCTAGCAATCTAAGTTTTTTTTCTTTTTGGTTTACAGAGATCTCAAAATAAATTGATTTAGAGGCTTAGATTCCAATTTTTTTCACTTTGGGGGTTTAGGATACTCGCAATAGCCTTTTATGAAAAAATCATGGGTCAAAAATGACCCAAAGACACGTTATTCCCAAAAAAGGGGACAGGACCCAAGCGCATGCCTAGGATTGAGCGTGGGCACATGCCCAGGACTGAGAGTTGGGTGCGCACCTGGGCCGCTTGGGCGGGTGCCCATATACTAGTGCACAGGGAGGGCCACCAAGTCCTGGGCTTGAGGTCCTCCATGCACCTAGGTGCCGGGTGGATCATTTTTTGAAACAATGATAATATAAAGCCCATAACAAGGTCCACCTCACTGTCAACCTAACATCAAACAATGACCAGGGGCAAAGATACTTAGTACACTACCCAACTCAAAAAACACTTAAAAAAACTATACAATATATCTTCTTCTGCCTAGACTACTTGCATTATGCCATTTATATAAAGTGAACATAGATCTCAATTGGTTTCTTTTCTCCATTATGCTCCAAGACTTAGGAAAGAGGGGTTAAATCTCATGACCTTAGGCCGCACTAGATCCCTCTTCTTAGTATACTTACACATCATGCTACAGTATGGGTGTGATTGTAGATAAACATTTTTTTTTTTTAATAATGTTAACCTTTTGTAGATAAACATTTTCGTGGCCTTAGCTTTACGTGTCCCCCTTGACATTTCTCCAATGGCCTCAAGCATGAGGTCAGTGCAATGTGTGGTGCATGGTGTCCAAACGATATGAGGCTGTATGGGGATTTTGGCAAAAAAATCAGCAATAGCCAGATTGGGCCCTTCAACCTTGGCGCTAAGTGGACAATTGCCTCCATCATTGAATGGAAGCTGCTCAACGAGTAGACTTAAAAGCAAAGCCCACCTGATACATCCACTAGGAAAACAGTTCACCACCATACTTACCCATATTTAAAATGGTGAACATTAATTGATTAGGGTCAATTTGAATAGCCCACTTGCTTGATGCATTTTCATCTCTCTGCCCCTTTTACTTGAAATAAGGGGAAAAGAATTTTATTGCATTTGTGTGGGACAAAGATAGCAGCCCATTTTGAGTAAGGGGAGCGGAGAAAGATGGCTTACTCCTAATTAACTGGTGCCGACCATAAATTTCCAGTAACTATGACATAGTAAGGAAATTACTCAAGTTGGTGTCCCATGCAAATTGGGCCTAAATGAGCTTTTTAACTTCATTGAATAATTTTTTTGATCTTTGTTATCATAAACTTCTCATACCATGAGATCTATTATAATTATTAGAGTTTACATGTCTACCATATAAGCATATGATCTTTCTCCAAAGGCATGTGTTTATGTTTGCCGACAAATTGTATACATGTGATAAGATAAGGCATGTTGAGGAAAGAGAAGATCTTTAGTACTTCTGAGTCTTATTCGTTAGAGTAATCCGAGTACACTAGTCGCATAATGTGTTATGTTTCCTTATGCGCATCGCCTCCACTTGCATATGTGGGAATTTGTGATGCGCCTACATATGTGGCGCATCAACGGCATATGCGTGCGCATCACATCAAGGGTGCTATCCCGCATATGTGCCTCTACTTGTGTGAAAATTTCCCCCCAAGTAGGGGCAAAATTGTAAACCCCCCCGCCCAAACAACCCCTTGAACCATACTTCCATGGTTCTAAGGTGGAGGTTGTTGAAACGCATTAATGTGGACCCTATTGTATTGGTTGAACCCGTGGGTACAAGTGGACAGTAGATCCACGCCACGATCAAATGGTGTTCGAGGGCAAGGACCTAACATGGCTTGCTGAACAAGTAGCAAGGCCTAGCACTAGATCACAAAGAAAGAGAGATGGGTCCACATCAACATTGGTTCCAGAGATTGAGGAGGGTAACTCGGAGGAGACAGAGGATAAAGAAGTGTGCGTGGGAGGAGAGTGATGATTCCCTTTCTTAAAACAATGATACTGATGATGACGACTCTTCAACCTCAGGTTTGGATGGGGGAGATGCACATGATGGATCGTCACATAACTTATTAGATTAAGACTTGACAGTTGGGCATTGGCTTATTAACTCATTGAGCTTGAGTTATATTTCTTAATTTTTATATTCTATATGTAATAGGTTTTTTATCTTTGGAGTTTTTAAGTTTTGTTTAGGCTGTGGCTGAGGTTGTGGACGTGAACTTCTAATTGGGAAGAATTTTTATTCTTTGGATGTTATATCAAATTGTTAATTCTTGTTACCATTGGGATGAAATGCATTGCTTTACATTACATGTACGACCACAAACTATGTTACTCTTCATCAAACTATGAGGCTTAGGTAACTCAAACAACTAACGTATTAGAGAGATGTACTAAATTAAAAATTCTACTATCACATAAATCACAAATTTGTGTTTTTCTATGCAGTCTTATATTTTTATGATTTTTCTAATTTTTTACATTTATTTACCACATTGCATGTGACGTGCCCGCCTCAGGACCACATCGACTCCACATCTTGCATTTGATAACATTATCACCCATAATGATATTTGACATGGCAGCAGTTGAGTAAGGTTTTGAAACATACAACTGACATAACATAAACAACATTATCATAATTTCAGTATTGGAGATCACATATGAGTTTAAAAAACAACACACTTAGAAAAAGGAAAAAAATAATCAAGGACCATTACCAGTGGTAATTCGGACAGCCAAACCAAAGTCAGCGAGCTTCATCTTCCCCGACATTGTAAGAAGAATGTTCTCGGGCTTTATGTCACGGTGCACAACCCCCATCTCATGACAATACTTGATAACCAAAACCAATTCTTTGATCAAAACTGCAGCCCTTTGCTCAGAGTAGCACCCCTTCGTCAACATTTCATCGAGCAAGCGACCACCTGAGCATAACTCCATAACGAGATGGAATGAATCTGCATCTTCATACACCGCTCTCAAAGTAACAACACTTGGGTGACCAGAAAGATGCTGCATTATCTCTACTTCTCTATGAGCAGTCTCTTCTCCTTTCTTTGGAAGAGATTTGCAAGCATACTCCACCCCACTAACTATATTCCTACACATTCTCACTGAACCAAATTTGCCTTGTCCAATTTGGGGCCCCAAGATGTATTCTTGCTCCAATTTCTTCTTCCTACCCATTTGGGTTGCCGATTCGATACACCCCAATTTCCTTTTTAGCCCTCTTCCATGAGGGTTTGAGAGAGAAATTCGATCCTTTCTACAATGTGGGACTGTGACAATTCCTGCAACTCTGCTGTTACAAGAAGTGCCATCTTCTTCTTCTGTTTGCTCCCTGCACTTCTTCGCTCGCCTTGAGATTTGTTCAAGCGATAAGTGCAATGAAGCATTATCATTCAAGGATAAAGCCCTAAGAAGGTCACCACGCTCTATAGATCCACAACCTTTCCTCTTCCTCCTTATTGACTCCATTAATTTGATACAACCCCTTCGTGCTGAATTCACTACAAGTTACAGTGAGATTAGGTCGTGATTGATGGTCACAGTAACGAGAAACCCTAACCCTGATACCAAAGAACCCAAGGAAAACTGGTTAATTGCGGTCAGTCTTTCTTGTTAGTAAATGAAAGAATTGATTAGCCTTTTCCTTGAGTTCTCATGTCAACCAGTTTTTGCAGACGAGAGAGAAGTGACCTATCTCTCACTCAATGCACCTTCTACAAGATGATCAACTTCTGCAAGCGAAAAGGAAATTAAACCTAGTCAAGATTGTGATCGATTACTTACATTGATCACTCAGATAATCATATAATTCCACAAAAATCGATTATTTAAAACTCAGAGACTCAAAACCCCTAAAGTACCAAAGCCAAAGCAATTTCACTCACCAGAGAGCGCGCACCTCTTGTTTCTCATCTTCCTGCCCATCAAGATGGCCCAAACTCCTGATCCCAAACAATCTGCATCCACCGTTAATGGAGAAAAAAATCAGTGAAAGGGCCCCCAAGACGAATAAGAAAAACAAAAACCTAATCCAAGAATAAAAAAAAAAAAAGGAAAAAGGAAAAACAGAGAAACCCTAGTTTACCTCCTTCTGAGAGGGGCTACTATGGGGGCAAAAGGGGACGAATGAAGAGAAAGAGACATGGAAAAGGGAAAAGAGAAACTGCATTGCTGTGCAGTCCTGGGCAAAAAATGATGGCCGAGACAGAAAACAATGGCGAAGAAAGACAGGGTCACATGCCACACAAGTGAGAGTCTCCAACGTTTTTTTTAACACGGCAGAGGAAAATCTTTTCCTCTCTCTCTCTCTCTCTCTCTCTCTCTCTACTACTAACTAACTAATAA